TGCCCGGCCCCCACTTCAAAGAGGGGGGGGGGGGGGGGGATTTGGGTTTAAGATAAACCATGTAGTGTCCATTCATGACACCTATCAAAGAAAGCTCTTCTGTAATAGCAATTGGCACAAAACACCAGCTGCTTGGCAAACAGGCCCTGAGAAAACAGTATAAATCATCAACTTGGAGCCAAATTGGGGTTTTTTTTTTGCATTTGATCCTTTCTCTGCTCTTCATGAAGTGTCAGTGTGAGTCCATGAATCTACGATGTGTTACTTCTCCTGCCTGCTGATCTTCCATCAGCAGTGACGCGACGGGAGAAAGGAAAACAGTTTCCCGATAAATCAGGGGATTAGCTGTGCAGCAGTTTGACTCTTCATGAACTGGTGCTATCGAGCCTTACTCTCACCCCACACTTGTATCACTTTAAATCAGGAGGTAGAAGGGCTACACCGTTGCCAGGGATGTGAGTTTTTGCCCCTGCACTTGGACAAAGCACATTTTCCAACATCCCTGCTGAGGAAGGACGGGTCTGGGTTGGAGGTACCCTGCTTCCACTGAACTGTTTCCTCCTGCTCTAAGCCTGGCTTCCTGCAGCACCTTTACTATGACTCTGCTGGTGGCCTTCTGAACTTCATTCCTGGGTAATCATGCCTGTGGTTTATGCACTTTAGCTTTAAGAAACCCTTGACCAAACGAAGCCCAGAGCGGAACATGTGCGTCCCTTTGCCCAGGGGTGCCTCTGCCGAGCAATACTGTGCTGATTCCCGGCACAGGGAAAGTAACATCCTCTCCTCTTTGCCTCTGAGGTGGTGACGCAACTGGGAGAACATCCCTTCAGCCAGGCAGGAAGCATCACACCTCTGACGTGCACAAATGTTCATCTGGGTTTGCCCCCAACTCCTGCTCCACTTGCTGGCACCGCGCACGCATGTCACATCCCTCCGGCCCTGCAGCTGAGCTGCAGCCCTTGCCTGGCCATGCCTGGTGCCAGCTGGGGCAGGGGCAGCAGCTGAGCTGGTGTTCACAAGCACCACAACCCCCCATCTGCTCTGCTCGTGCCAAAACTCCAGCACAGAGATGCTCTAGGTGCAAAGCAGGTGAACTGCACCCCGTTCTCTGATGTTATGGTGAGATATAAGACCTATGGGAAGGAGAGCCTGTGAAAGCTCCTCAGAGCTGGTAGCACAACTGGGGTTTTGTTCATAAGAATTGCAAAGAATATTATGCTCAAATCTTTACATTAGCAGTAAATCAAAACCTTTAAGACTGAGTTGTCCTTTCACTATCCGTGCTGCAGCTGACTTGTGCTCATACAAATGAAGGGAGGTTTTGGGTCCTAACACACATATGGACTTTCTAAAACAGACTTTTCCCTTTCCCTTTCCCTTTCCCTTTCCCTTTCCCTCCTCTGGCCAGCCTCTGCCCTGCCTCTGCCCTACCAGGTCTGGCCACATAGACCAGGAAGACCCTACCCAGCACCTCCTGGGCTCATGCAGCTCCTCACATTGGGTTTGTGTTCCTGCATTCCTAATTCAGTAGCGGTTTAGGGACACTTGACTGGAAAAGGATGTGCAAACCTTCCTCCTGGAAATGCTTTGAACTGATGAATAATTTTGGTGGGGCAAAAGGAAAACAATAGTCAGTTTTTAACTAAACCACAATGCCTGCCGAGGCTGTTTGCTTCCCAGCTGGGAGCGCTGGCATCTGTGTCACAGGACGGACTTCTGCTTCTTGCAGATTCTCCCTCAAAAGAAGGGGGGGAATTTTTCCACCGTTCTGTTCCTCTGTGGGGCAGAGGGACTGTAGCCAGTGTCAGATCGGGAATGACAATGCTGACTTTCACTCTCCTTTTGCCTAGGCTCTGGCTTAAAAAGATACAGAAAGAAAAGAGGAAAAGAATACAGGAAAAGGCTTCACATCCATTCATGGAAGCCTGCTTAGTGACAGAATCCTGCCTTACCAAAAGCTGCTTCCAGGGGAAGAGCTGGTACATCTGGCGATGAAACCTGTCTATGATGTTACCACTTGTAAGCAGTTTTATTCAGTTCTGTTAATTAGCACCACAGGCAACATAGAATCATAGAATGCTTTGGGTTCAAAGGGACTTTTAAAGGTCATCTACTTAGAGTGAGGATGGTGGAGATCAAGGGACCTCTGTGGATTTCTTTGGGGACCAGTGGCTATCCTGACCCTATGAGCTTCTCAGTGACATTGTGCTTTGTCTGTGAACCACTCTGGGCATGGAGCGCTTAGAGGAGGAAGAGAAGGACTCCAAGGAATGGCTCAACAAAATCCTGCAACAGTCTTTCAGGGTGGTTCAAGGCTGGTGGCAAAGCCTAGACCCCCTGTAACCCCCTGGTGTGAGCCTCCACCACCTCAGCTGGCATGCTCCTTTCCACAGCCAGAAACTGAGGTTCTCCAGCAGCCCCTGGGGCCGAGCACAGGGCAGTACCGGGCTTACTGAGAAGAGCTGATCTCACTCATACAACTTTAGGAAGCCAAGCACAGGGTGCTCTGTTGAACAGCCAGTCCTAGCACCGGCCAGCCCCCTTTTGAGCCACCTCTTTTCTGCTACGTCTAATACAAGCAGAAACACCCCCTTCTGCCAAACGCTGGGGTTTCCATGGACATCTGAAGCACTGCCTGCTTGTGTCCTTGCCTCAGACAAGAAAACAAAACTACAGCAGGACCATGACAGAGTTCTTGGCAGGTAAGAACTCTCTTAGCTATAGTGAAAAAGCTGAAGAGTTTTCTTATTTTTAGGAATAAGTCCCACTCTGACTGGAGTGCAGAGGGCTGCTTTCTGTGCCAGCGTGCACTATGAGAGCCCCAAGTAGTTCCCAAGGTTACGCTGATCTGCAGCAGCTGAGGATCTGACCTGTGTATTAGGGCTGGAAATAAC